GGGGGCAATATGCTGACTCTGTAAACCGCTTAGAGAGGCCTGCAAGCCCTATGAAGCGGTATATAAGTCTAACTGCTATTGCTATTGCTATGTTCCATGGTCATGTGGTTGGCTTAACTATATACCGAGGCTCACAGAATGCTGTTACCTTCCCAGTGGTACCTATTTATCTACTTGCTTTCGAATTGCTCGGTAGGCAGGAGCTAGGCAAGGAGCAGGAGTCACCCAGTTGTGCGATGCTTGAGTCTCAGAGGGCCAACTTTTCAATCCAGAATCCCATCGGTAGACCAAGGTGGCCCCATATGGCATAATGGCATTGGACTAGAGCAGAGGTGGGCCACTACCGGGCCATGGGCTAATTGCCATTGGCCTGCATGAGTGGCTGGCTGGTGTGCGCACCTCTGCACAGTCCCATTCACACGAGCCTCATCGTGGGTGCTTACTGCCCCATTCACGTGAGCGCCGCCACAAATGTTGTGAGCACGTATGCACGCACACATGTGCTTTGCCCTTTCCACACAATCATCCCTTCTTTTCCCCCTTCCTCCATTCCGTGTCACAACCAGGAAAAGGTTGGGGAACTCTGGACTGGAGCCTCCAAATATATGTTTAGTGGATAGCCAAGCACTTTGTGCTTTATTTTATTTTTTTGTTTTCCTTTCCAAGAGAATTTGTGTTGGGGAACTCTGAGGACGAATAAGCCTCTATTAAATATTTATTGAACATCATAGTATTGAATCCTCCTCCTTGGATGATCTCAACCGGACATTGAGATTAAAACCTGTATGTTGGCTTGCTTCTATGATTTAACAGATGACAACCGTGCTCTTAGAACTGACATTATGTTAAATACACAAATGTTTTAGAATTGCAATACATGCATTTGGTTTGGATATAAAATCCATATGATAACATTCTGGGAATTCTTGGGAGAATTGCATTTCCATCAATGTCATGCTTTTAGAAACTTTGGATCTTTTAAGGAATAATTCAAGACACGTCTCTAAGTCTGCCAGAGAATGCTAGCTAACCTAATTAAGTGCTTGCACGTCCCAGAGGTAATACAATACAATACAACATAATAGCAGAGTTGGAAGGGACCTTGGAGGTCTTCTAGTCCAACCCCCTGCCTAGGCAGGAAACCCTATACCGTTCCAGACAAATGGCTATCCAGTTAAATAGTTCTGCTTTCTCCCTGTTGCTTGTCACCTTCTTGCCACTTTCTCCCAGCAATGGACCAATTGTTTCCTTAATGTTTTTCTTGCTTTTAACATGTTGGAAGAAGATTTTTTTTTTGTTATTTTTTACTTTTGAGGCAAGCCTTTCTTCATTGTGAGCCTTAGCTTTCCTTACTTCATCTTTATAGGCTCGGGCTATTTGCTGATATTCTGCCTTAGTTATGTCCCCCTCTTTCCACTTTTTATACTTGGGGTAGATTCTTGGTCGATAGGTAGAGATTAATTGTACGATCTCTATTTCTTTTCTTTTTTTTACCCACACATATTCTAAGTTTCAATTAAATATGACAAGCTTTTGTCCTCTTTTATACTAAAGCATTAATAAATGATGACTAAGAATGTCTGTTGTAAATAAAATAAGAAGGTTCTCTTAGCATATTTGACTCTACCAGTGAGGTCCTAATTTCATTTGGCATGAACCATTTCTGAATAAATTTTTTTAACATACACACTGTTTTTGTTCATTAATAGTAAACAAGTATTGNAAAGCGTGTCGATTGGTTACAAATACATTTCGTGCGTTTCTTCCACGATCATTTACCTATACTTCCTTCAAATTGAATTGTACATTTTAAATTTTAAAAAAAATTATGGATTTTACTATCACTGTTACCGCAGTTCTCATTTAATTACAATTACAATCTCTCTCTGGCCACACTGAGAATATATATCTGCTGAATAAAACTCCTCAGTGGCAACAGGAAGGGCAGTAAACACTATATAAGGGACTACGGGGCCGTTCGAAGGAAATGATGATTAATTCCCCCTTCTGGTGTGGTGGCCTAGAGGTGGAGCTCTTGTCTCCCTGTGAGGTCGATCCTGGGTAGAGGCAGATATTTCTGTCTCTGGGCACACTGAGAATATATATCTGCTGAATAAAACTCCTCAGTGGTGACAGGAAGGGCAGTAAACATTATATAAGGGATATAAGGGATTATGGGGCCGTTCGAAGGAAATGATGATTAATTCCCCCTTCTGGTGTGGTGGCCTAGAGGTGGAGCTCTTGTCTCCCTGTGAGGTCGATCCTGGGTAGAGGCAGATATTTCTCTCTCTGGGCACACTGAGAATATATATCTGCTGAATAAAACTCCTCAGTGGCGACAGGAAGGGCAGTAAACACTATATAAGGGATAGAAGGGATTACGGGGCCGTTCGAAGGAAATGATGATTAATTCCACCTTCCCTCTTTCATTCTGCCGCAGTTACAAACATAAGCTTAACCTGGGCTCACTGACCTCCTACCTGGTCAGTTATGTCCTCTCCAATCGCAAGGGCCAATCTCCGTTCATCAGAGCCAAGACGGTCGTTCAGACACTCGCGGCCTTCTTCGCTTCGGCGGACGCGGCCATCACTGTGGAGCACACGCCCATTTGGTGCAAGAACAACAAAGGGATAAACGTTCTGGTGGAGGAACGCGAAAAGCACGTGAGTATTTTGGCCCTCAGGACCAGGGATCAGCAGTCCTCGTTTAGCGACCGTTCGAAGTTACGACTTCAAAAAAAGGCTTAGAATCATTTTTTCACGCTTACGACCGCGTGGTCATGGGATTCCAAATTCGGAACCTTCGCAACTAGAAGGACATCCTCGACTTATCACGTTTCGCTTAGTGACTCTTCAAAGTTACAACAGCACAGCAGAAAAACGAGCGATGGCGATTTTCCACATTGACAACCATTTGAACAAAACTAGCAACCGACTCATATTTATGATGGCTCCCGAGGTCACGGGAGATCCCCCTTTTGCGACCTTTTGGCAAGCAAAGTCCACGGGGAAGCCTGATTCACTTAACAACCGTGTTCCTTACTTAACTTCTGCAGTTGCAACACGGGCAAACTTCACTTAAGAACTGTCTCGCTTAACAACAGAAATTCTTTGCTCTATTGCGGTCGTAAGTCAGGGACTACCTCTATTTATGACGGTTGCAGTACCCTGGGGGTCACAGGATCATCTTTTGTGACCAGCAAAGTTAATGGGGACAGCCAGATCCACTTAACAACTGTGCCGAGAACGGTCATAAAATGGGGCGAAACTGACTTAGCAACTGTCTTGCTTAGCAGTGGAAACGTGGGTGGGCCTCCATTATGGTCGTAAGTCGAGGACTAGCTATAGACCCAGAGCTTCCTTCCCCTTCAAGATCTGTGGGAGAAAACTTGGGATTTGATGCTTTTCGTTCGGCGAGATCATCGTCCCAACTCTTGTTTTCTAGATCATTGTTGAAGAAGCGAAACAAATATGGGCCAAGATGAAAATGCGGAGCCCGACCACGGACATGGCTCACAGAATGACGCACGACGGTAAGTGGAATATGTGAGGGAAGCTTGGGGGCATTTAGCTCTGCTGGAGAAACAGGAAGAAAAAAGTAAAAACAGAGGGGAAATTTCCTTCATGGAGGGAAAAATCTAGTTCCACCTTAGACATGAAAGCCAGCTGGGTGACTTTGGGCCAATCACCAGGAGACGGGGAGTTCTAGTCCCGCCTTAGTCATGAAAGCCAGCTGGTTGACTTTGGGCCAATCACCAGGAGACGGGGAGTTCTAGTCCCGCCTTAGTCATGAAAGCCAGCTGGTTGACTTTGGGCCAATCACCAGGAGACGGGGAGTTCTAGTCCCGCCTTAGTCATGAAAGCCAGCTGGTTGACTTTGGGCCAATCACCAGGAGACGGGGAGTTCTAGTCCCGCCTTAGTCATGAAAGCCAGCTGGTTGACTTTGGGCCAATCACCAGGAGACGGGGAGTTCTAGTCCCGCCTTAGTCATGAAAGCCAGCTGGTTGACTTTGGGCCAATCACCAGGAGACGGGGAGTTCTAGTCCCGCCTTAGTCATGAAAGCCAGCTGGTTGACTTTGGGCC